CTAAATTTGATAGCATTTCCGGCTACACCGGATGTGCTAAAAAAATTTGATGCATTTTCTAAGAAAGCCAGGAATGAATAGTATTATTTGAAAATTTAGTTTTTGAAAAAATAATGTAAGTTTAGGTGTTATCGGCCGGGGCGACTTGGACCGAACAGCCTGTATAGTATAACTATAATTTTATAGATTACTTTTACAAGAGTTTACATGGATAAAATAATTAAGTCTTACTTTTATAATCTTTTCCATTTTTTTAAATTAATTGTTATGCTATTTATGTAGTTATTTTATGAATAAATATAAATATACTTATTTATGTTGCTGTATGTATTGTCTCATTTTACAAAATTCCTAAAATGACCTTTGTAACTCTAGAATTTTACATGTTAGTTAGACATCCATTCCAAACAAGATAATCGTATACCATAAATTAATGAAATCAAAGAATATTCGGTAAAATATTTGCAATATATTATTAAATGAGAGTTTCCATTTACAGAAAACAAAAAACAGGTTAATTTTTTCAGTTAAGATTTTATAAATTTGATTTTTGTTCTGTGGGCTTTAAAAGGTAGGTATTTTTAATGGATTATTATGTTTATTCAAAAAATCTTTGATACCCAAGAATTTTGAGAAATCTTTTTCCCTTTACCAATAAATGGAAATTGTAGGTGTTATTTGTAAATAAAAATAATGTGTAAGATATTACCGGTAAAATCATTATAACTTTAGAATTTTATTAACTTTAAAATAAACAAGAGACATTAAACTACATACCAGTTGAATAAAAAGTATGGAACCAAACGTTTTTGCTTAAACTATTTATTTTTTGGAAAAACTAATTTATGAATGACAAAATACTATAAAAATATGATGTTTTCGCAAGAATACAATTTTGCGAAATTTTCTTGTTTTTGAGTTCTACAAATTTTTTAATTTTTTTAAATGGCAACTCATTATAATAACATTTTTCTCATGAAGGTTATGATCTAAGAATTACAACAAACTACATTATATTTAATTTTTTCCAAAAACATTCTTTAGAAAAATGCAATTTAGACAAAAAAATCGCATAATTCCAAAACGAAACAAAATTTCGTTCTCAAAATACGATCACATTTTTTATATTACTTTAATTTACATTAATTATTATTTTCTGAAGGCAAATAATTAAAAAAAAAACGCTTGGTTCTATACTTTATATTCACTCTGTGAATTATTATTACGGTTTATTATATTGCGAAAATATGATTTCATTTTGAATTATTAAAGATACTTGTATGTAATATGTTACTAGAATAACATGTACCGAGTGAGTGTTAACCCTTTGACAGTTTAATGATTAAAAAATCTTAAACATTGCCTTCGGGCGATGCGTGGTTCATGGATGTTGATATCACTAACACGATTCTTGTCACGTCTTTGGCAATAAAATCAATGCAACTTGTAACATTCCACCGTTGAATGACGACTATTACGTATTTTGTGTGTGCGAAGAAGGGTTCTGCTGGTTCGAAAACAGATGAGGTTATCGTCAAGGGACAAGTTTAGTAACATCGCCCACCTGAGACCAAAGTCAGAAGCCAATATCTTGTCTGCAAACGCGTCTGCCTCTGCTAATATGTCTGTTGTGGTCTTTCAGAGGCAAATATACCTAGACACGGTCAGTTCTCATAACACAAATGATTATATTCGTATAAATGTGTGAAAAAATTAAAGTTGCTGTTTTCGCGTAGAAGTTATGTTCGATTTATCGCCTCTACGAGTGTTTGCATTGTTTATGAGTCAAATTCGCAGAACGAAATAAAGAAGCTGTACCTACTTTCTGTCCACTAGTCGGCGAGAGTTCAATTTCCTTTAATAGTTTCCGATGTCGTTATGTCGTTTATGAAAATACCTAATGTAAGAATAGTGTCGTCTTCGCCAACAGTTCCTCTCCAAGTCATGTATGAAAAATTTTTTGTTCTTGAAACGAGCATTTCATGATGAAGGAACATCGTATCAAATTACGCTGAACTGCACAAACAGGGAACTAATTAATCCAACAAAACTGGGGTTGGCTTGAGGCGTCCAATGGCGAACCATTTTCAAGGGTTACTTCATGCCCTATTGGTTTGAAACACGGCCATTGTTAGCTCGTTGTTGAACAACAATACCACCATTATGCGTATTTGCATTCATGTTAATTGCATTCAACAACTAATCAGCTGTAATGGCCAATCTTCCGTGTATAGCAGTCCATTAAAATGGCGGAGTTTTTACAAGAGTTTGCCCCACAACGAGGGGTTCATTGTTGGCATCGCCGTGAAACAAATTCTCTACTACCGAGAAGAGGATTTTTTTCATTCGCGCTTATTGAGTATTGACCAGCCGTAATATTCTGCTCAAACGAATCAAATCGATTTGTTATTAGTTGTGACTTTTAATCAAATGGTGATGGGTCATAGAAACGGATTTGCGTTATTCCTTGGTTACTTAATTGCACTTCATCACTACACCAAGATGTTGCATATAAATGTGAATACATTTTTACAACTTTATAAATCCAACGTGCATGAAATTATTTTGTTATCATATAATAATAAAACTAAATTAATTTAGCACAGCAAATTTTCTAGTAACTAATTCGATGTCATTTCCTGTTTGTTACTGTACTCAGGTGGTGGGTACTCAGGTAAATGAGGAGATGTTCAGGTCTCGATCTAAAAACTCAATTATCAATTTTTGAACTATAATAGCTTATAATGCATATTACTGACAAAAGAAATACAAAGCAAAGTCTCAAACAAACTTATTGGTGAGACAAATTTTAGAATACTTAGGGCTAGTTTCATAATCAAATTAAAGGGACTTTAGTTAAATAAATAAATTTCCAAATGAAACTCGTATAGGTATATTTTCTAGACAAAGTTTTTTTTTTCGGCAAAGGACAAATAGATTCGTAAAAATATAACTGCTGCAAATCATATTGTTTTTCACATATGTATCTAATATGTATAAAGTGTTCTGTTTTTATTGTTACAAATTGAAACAGGTGATAGAATATTCAATTTTAAGACAAAAGTTTCCTATGAACTTGTATCAAAAAATATTATGTAAGTGAGCTACACCCCCTGAAAAAGTTGCGTTTTTTTAATGGGATTTTCCTACTATTGCAGAATAGATAAAATTATAACGAGGAATATTTGGAATTGACGTATAATTTTTCACTGCTGGTGGTACTACCCTGAAGGTTTACAAAAGAGGGGTATTCAGGAATTTTTGTGGTAGGCTTTTAATTTATTGCAGGTATAAATTTAATTTATATATTAATTTGATATTAAAATGATAATGCAGATCAGTTCATTTGTAAAGAAACATTCTCAAAATATAGCTAAATATTAAAATTAATTTTTAAAAATATTACATTCTTTTTTGATGAAAGCCCAAAAACAAATTTCTGTTACGGACCATCTCTTCCTACAAACCCTTGAAACGTGTATGTCCTAAGACATGCAAATTTGTTTATCGCATTTCTACCGCAAGCCCCATGAACCACCGTGGGGGGTAATCGTCTTATTCTATAATGAGTCTTAAATATTGTTGGTACCAACTATACAAAAGTTGGTACAGCTGATGACCTTTAAACACCTGAACGAATTCAAAGATCAATTATCGAAATTTTTAATCACGGGCTTCTTAAATGGTAAAATGAATTTAATTTTTAATTTGTACCCTCTTTATGGTCTGTAACACATATTGTAAACTGATTTTACTCGAAAACGGTAAGTTGTATCGAAAAAATGCAAGAGATCTCTTTTTTGTGAAAAACTATGGAATTTAGAATTTTGTAGCTGAATGTGGCAAGAACCAACAGCGAAAAAAGTTAGGGTACTTTTATCCTAACC